GGCTGATGGGTTTGAACCACCAGCTTTCTGGTTAGCAGTCAAATGCCTTAGGGACTATGCCACCAGAGCTCCTATATATATATAGGAGCAAATATATCTTAAATACCTAAGGGCTGGTCATTATTCCAAGTGATGAACAAGATAAATAAGATTCCTTCTTGTAGGATTATTAGATTCTAGGATTCTAGTGAGGAAAAAAAAAAAAGACTAAACAAAACAAATACATAAATAACTTCAGACAATAATGAGGGCTGTGAATAATATATTCATTTATTCATACCTTCATCAAATATTTATTGAATACCTATATGCCTGATATTACATGGATGGAGTATGTAGTATGTATGAAGGCATGACATTTAGGCTGAGACAGGACTGATAAAGAGTCATCCATGAGAAGATTGGAAAGACAAGTTCCCAGATAACCTTCCCAAGGACTGGGCTACAATTCAGGATGTAGAAAGAAAAATGGTGGAAGTTGAAGTTGGAGAGGTACCAACCTCATTGGACAGGGACCAGATTTGTAGTGCCTGATAGGTCTAGATATTTTTCTAAATTGTATGGAAATCAGTACACAATTTTAAGCCAGGGTGTAATGTAGTCTTATTTACATTTTTTAAAAAAATCACACTGCCTCCTTCTGGAGAGTAGGTTGTTGGAGAGCAAGAGTGGATGAATTAAAAACTATCAGAGCACTATTATAGTTGCCTTGTGAGAAATGATCATGTATGGATAACTTCTAGCTTGTGAAGTTGAGCAACCAGTACATTATGGTATATGTGGACATCAGAAAGGTCATGTAGTAATATAGCCTTTGCTTTCTACTGAAGGAAAATAAGGCCTAGCTGGGTTAAATTATTTGCTTTGTGTCACATGTCTGCTTGGTTCTCTTTGCTGTTCTTATGGGACACCGTCTCTCATCAAAACCTGTCAATAGCAAGATTAAAATCCTTAGCTAACTAATTGAACTAGTGTCATCTGTTAGAAATAAGAGAGAGATTATGTCTATAGATCCTTGTTTCTCAATTTAATTATATTTTAATGGGTCACTTAGGGGCCCAGAGGCACAAACAGTTAAGCACTTGGCTGCTAACTGAAAGGTTGACAATTCAAATCCACCCAGCAATTCTGTGAGAGAGAGACCTGGCGATCTAATTCTATAAAGATTACAGCCAGGAAAACCCTGTGAGGTAATTCTACTCCATCACATGGGGTCAATGAGTCAGAATTGACTCAAAAACACCCAACAACAGCAGGTTTGTCCTTGAAAGGAGTATTTAAGCATATCAATGGGGATTAAGTCTAATTTGACCATTTTAGTCAAAGCCTCTTTTCAAATACATACTCCCTGACTGGGATGGAGTGGTGAAAGATGTGGTAAAACCACGTGAAATTGTTCACTACAGATTAGTAAATAAGCACAAATAAGCCCCTGTTTATCTTGCTTATTGAGTAATCCACCCCTTGGGGCAATTGACTCATTGTTAGCTCATTTCCAACAAACCTTTCTGAGTAATTTTCACATGTTAAAGTACATTTTCCCTTCTTGTACTAAAACTTAGATTTTTGGATCCAACTTTGAGCTTTTCATTTATACGTGCTAAAATTAATCATTCAGATTTATCTCATTAATGTAACTATGGTTATTTTAACATGTCTTTTTTTTTTTTTTTAACTCAACACACTTATTTTCCTTTCTGCATGTCATCAGCTAATTTTTTAAAACATAACTTCAAAATCATCTTATAAGCTTAGAAAACATATTATCTAAAGCCACAAAGCATCCTGACAATTTCAACCACAAGTCTTAATCATCACTCTTTAGATAGTTGTTTAGTTCTAAACTACATTTACCCTTGCATTCAATTTATATTATTTTCTTCTCTTCAGAAGCCTTCCTATTTTACTTTGTCATGTTTGACATTATTTAAATCTGGAGAAACATGTTCAGTTATTGGCATATGTTTTAAGAGAGATACTGACAAATCGATAACATTCAGAAAGAAGAAACAAGACGTGAGGGCATTTGGAAGCTGGTGCTGTGGCAATAAACTAATGATGTAATCTTCACATATGGTTTGGAGATTCTCACTCATAGTGTTTGGTCTGAAAAAAAGAGAAGCTAAGGAATAATTTTCTTTGAATAAAATGACTGTTATATAGATGATGAAATACATTTGATCCCAGTAGTTACAGGTGAAAGAGTGTCAGTAGTGAAAGATTTTAAGTTGTGAATTAATGTTATGAAGATATTTGAAAAAAAAAAAAAAAATAGAATTATCTACTGCAAAACTGACTTAGTTTTAAGTTAATAAGCTCCCTTTTACTTTGAGATATTCAGTCTGAAATGAAGCACCTTTATCAGGAATTACTGTGCTCTCTAAAAAATTGGCCCATTAATCTCATGATTTTCATGATTTTGAACTTTAATAGTCCACGTCTCTATATAGATTTAGATTCCAGTAGATGGAATTTGCTATGGTAGCAAAAGTAGGTATTTTAGAGCTCAAAAAGAACTTGGGAAGATCAAGTCTATTCATCTCCTAACATAGTAAGGTTCAATAACTTGCCCAATGTCACAGAGATTAGATCCAGCTCTTCTGCTGATTCGGGCAGTGTTTTATCTACTAATTCCTGCTGCCACGTGCTTTATAGAGATGCTCAGAAAGCCCTTGTTATCTGTATGAAGTATGGTACTGGAAAAAGGCCATAAAGTGAATCTACTTGGAAAGAAATCCAGAATTTTAAAAAATATAATGATAAAATGACCTGACTGGTTGTTATCTTAAAAAGTAAAACTAAAAATTATGAAAAAAAGTCACTTCATCTTGGATTTAATGCAATTTATGTCACAACTATAGTCAGAATGAATAAAGAATGAAGCAAGAGTTAACTGTTCATTTGAAAAAAATATATATCATAGCACAGTATTCTTCATGTCTGGTGTTCACTCTTAACAAAGAGGTGCTATATTATATAATGGTCACTTTGGGTGGCCCAAGGATCTTTCTTAATCAAAGAAATCTCTTTTGAAGTACATGTCCTTATCAGCCTGATTATTTTCTCTAATTCCCCTAGATCTTCTTATGTCAGTGTTGTACATTTGATTTACGCAGTTCTCCATCATTACAGTTACCAACTTTGTGCATCTTTTGAAGATTGCAACTTTACTATTAATTTGTGTATTATTCATGATCAGCATATGATTAGTCCAGATATTTGGCAGAATCAGAACTAGTCTTAAGTGAAGATGATTGTTTGAGAAAGAATTAATTTTAAAATTTATTACTAAATATTTTGTGTTAGGAATGACTTCTCTTTTCCTACACAATTTCTTTATTTAAAACTCTGGGGACTTGGTCAACCAATACTAAGAGAAAACCAAAAAACTAAATTCACTGCCATTGAGCAGGATACGACTCATAGTGACCCACTGGTTCGGTTTCCCAGGCAGTACCATTATGGAAATAGATTGTCTAATCTTCCTCCCCAGGAGTGGCTGGTGGGTTTGAACTGCCAGGCTTCTGGTTAGCAGTCAAATGCCTTAGGCACTATACCACCAGAGCTAATGACTACTATTCTCTCTACCCAGATCAAACTTTCCAAATAAATATATGCAAGTGGAATATTTTAGGAAAGGACCTGAAACATTTTTTAACTTTTTTTACCTAAGTAATATTTTGGGATTGATTATTCAAAACACGATTAAACATAAATGATTTTCAGCAGTTGTTGTTATGTGCCGTGGTGGAGTCAGATCCGACTCATAGCGACCCCTCCTTGGGTTTCCGAGGTAGTATCTCTACGGAAGTAGATTGCCCAACCTTCCTTCCAAGGAGTGGGTGGTGGGTTTGAACTGCCAGCCTTCTGGTTAGCAGTCAAGGGCCTTAGGCACTACGCTACCAGAGCTCCCTTCAGCAGTAGTGGGGGCAACTTAAAGTCAATAACTTACTTTTTAAAGCAGTGTGCTGCAGTAATGAGCCATGTGTTACTAATCAAGCTGGCTCCACAGTGATGTATGTTGTTACGCTGAAGAGAAGCTTGCCAAGGCCAGGCAGACTTGGCTGCAATGTCACCAGACATTATTCTGTTGACTATTAATGGAACAACTCGTTTACCACAGCCTGAAAGAAATGAGATCATTAAGTTATAAAAAATGGCTCCTTGAATTTTATCTGGTAAAGAGAACTTAATGAAGTATTGCAATGCAATAACATTTACATCTGCCATTATGTAAGCATGTACTGTATCAGTATTCTTTCTCTATATTTCCTGATGTGTTGATGTTTTACTCTCCTTGATATTTATACATATGGATATATGCTGCCTACAGAAGCTATATTATACTGCAAAATGTGACACATCAAATCAACCAAAAAACCCACTGTCATTGAGTTAATTACAACAGTGACCTTGTAGGACAGAGTATAACTGCCCCGTAGAGTTCCCAAGACTGTAAATCTCACCACAGAAGCATATTTCCTCATCTTTCTCTCATAAAGCAGCTGGTGAGGTTTACCACAGACTGCGCCATAAGAGCTTTCTTTTTGTGACACATCAGAAAATGTCAAATTAGTCCTGAGGACTTGTGGTGACAATTATGCAGATGTCATGGGAACTCATACTAAGAATATTTGAGTTGATCTGGCAGTGCTACCTTACATAAGTTCTGGTGAATTTATCACCAGAAAAACAACTCCCTCTAGTTTGTTGGAATCTACTCCTCCATCTATTTTTTCTGAAAGAGTTAGTTCATAAGATGTGCAGGGTTAATGTATCATAAATAGTCACTGGTCCATTATTTCCACATAAACTTCATCTTCCCAACCACTGGGGGAAAAAAAAAAAGCATGTACTATATCATGTTTATCTGATTAAAGATCATTATATTACTTAGGATTCCTATTCAGAATTAAGCACATTTTGAGCATGATGTTAATAAGGAAAATAATGGTATGTTCTATTCTTGTCCCAAGTAATTATGTAATCAAGAAGAAAATTCATTTTACTGATATTGACTACCCTCAAACTATGGCCAGCCATTTTAGAAATCTCCATTCCTCTGTAATTACTCTAGTTTAACCCTGAAACCCAAATCCACTGCCATTGAGTCAATTCTGACTTATAGCAACTCCCATTTGGGTTTCCAAGGCTGTAAATCTTTACAGAACTAGACTACTTCATCTTCCTCCTGTGGAGCAGCTGGTGGATTTTGAACCACTGATCATCTGGTTATCAGCCAAATGTCTTAACCCTATGCCACCAGAGCTCCTACTCCAGTTTAAACTGCTATTTTTTTCTTCCTGCCTCTAGCCTTGCCTGTCTAATCCATTCTTCACATTATATAGCCTGAATAATCTTTCTGAAATATGTAAAACCTTTCAATGACTCCAAATTGCTCTCCAAATGTTTCAGCATTGTTCTAGTCCTTGCATACTATTAATCATGCCCTTTTCTCACATTCTCAAGCCCCATTTATATTCCAGATATATTGACATTTTTTTTCAATTACAAGAAATGACTATGTTCTTGATTGCCTGGATATTTTTACATACTATTCCCCTCTTCCAGAACACTCACCCCACTTTACACTTGACTCAAGACTTGTCTTCTGTCCTATTTCAGGGATCACTTTCTGAGCCCACAAGACCAGGTCAGCTGCCTCCTTTATCGACTCTCAAAGCACTGTGCACTTTCTCTGTCAAAACATTTATCATTCTATTAATATTTCCTGATTTATTTCTCTATCTCCTCTATCTCTAAACTTAACTTATTTTAGGATAGAGATCATGTCTTATTCATGATGGTATTTTCAGCTTCTGATACAATTTTTGGCACTTGGTTGTTGTTGTTTGTTGTTATGTGCTGTGAGTCAGACCCTACTCATAGTGACCCCTCTTTGGGTTTCTGAGGCAGCATCTCTACGGAAGTAGATTGCCCAACCTTCCTTCTGAGGAGTGGCTGGTGGGTTTGAACCGCCAGCTTCCTGGTTAGCAGTCAAGTGCCTTAGGCACTATGCTACTACTTGGTAGATATTAAAAAAAGTTGTTAAATAAATGAATATAAATATTTCCTATGTTTGAAAGACATGGAGGCATAAAACCTTTTACTCAAATTCATTATCACTTTGGTAAACATCTTTCAAAATGCAGGGCAGAAGATATGGAGTGAGTGAGTGGAGCCATTGTGCTATGGAGATGAGTAGATTAAGCAAATTGTACAGTTCAGTTACAGGTAATGGGATCTATTACTTTCTCATTATTTCTCAGCAGAAATCACATTTCATAAAATTTAGAAAAATTAGAAAAGCAAGTCCACTTATTCCAAACCAGAAATAGTTTCTCTCAGTTGTCTAAATATTACCACTATGTGAAAATATTTTTCTTGAACAAAACTAAAAGGTCAGTCTCAGATTTAGAGGAAAAGTATTTAATATTAGGGGTAAAAGATTCCTTTATGTCTATTGTCCAATTCTTATTCTTTCCTCCCCTAAAAAAGTGGGATATGGATGGGAAACTGTGAACTAACATTTGAAGATGTCCTTTCTGATGTGGAATTTGAACTTATTTATGTAAGCTCACTAAACTTACATGCTTGGACAGTTAGCTTCCCTGTTGATGAGCTCATTGCTGAAAAACAAAAGAAAACAAATAATGATGATTTGATATTCTCCCAGTTGATGTCTGTTTTAGTTACCTAGTGCGGCTATAACAGACATACCACAGATGGATGGCTTTAACAAACAGAAATTTATTGTCTCTTAGTTTCGGAGGCCAGAAGTCTGAATTCTAGGTGCCAAGTTCAGGGGAAGGCTTTCTCTCCCTGTGAGTCCTACGGAAGGGTTCTTGTCTCCTTTCAACATTCATAGGCCTTATGTTCTTTGGATATCTTCATGTGTCTTGGTAGCAGTCTTCCCCTGGGTCTAGGTGGTTCTCAGCACAGTGGCTCCAAAGGAAGTGCACAACTCACAGCACTTTTTCCTTGGTGGTGGTAGGTTCCTCTTTCTTTGCTCACTTCTCTCTCCTTTAATCTCTTGTAAGATAAAAGATGATACAGGCCAGACCCCAAAGAAACTCCCCTTACATAAGATCAGGGCTGTAACCTGAATAAAGGCATTGCATCCCACCCTAATGCCTTTTCAACTGATTGGTTTATCACATCAGATCATATCATGGGGAATGATCACCTCATTGCATAACTGCCAAATTACATCATTACATCACTGCCAAACCACTGAGAATCATGGCCTGGCCAAATTGACACAATTCAGTCCATGGCAATGTTAATAATCAGAAATTATCAGAGGATATTGACCGTATGTGTATGCTCCATGGTTGAATATACAGATCAGTCAAGAGAATGGCCCTTCAAAACAAAATCTGTTGCTGTTGAGTTGATTCTGACTCATAATAGCCCTACAGCACAGAGTAAACTGTTCCATAGAGTTTCCAAGGCTGTGAATCTTTATGGAAGCAGATTGTTACATATTTTTCTACTGAGTGACTGGTGGTTTCAAATCACTAACCTTTAGCAGCCTAGCGCTTTAGCCACTGTGCCACCAAATATCTAATATATGACAACAAACATACAATTTTTGAAGAGACTCATAGGCAACCTCTACTGGATAGATAATGCCCCAAGCACTGAATGGTTAAGTCATCCAAACTACTAATAGCTTGCATTAGTACAGGGGAGTGGTTTTCCAATGCTACAGTTAAAGTCTCTTTGCATTCTGCTTCAGGAAAAGGGAGAGAAAGATCAGGTAAATAAATGAGTCTCCAGGTGTCAAAACCATGGTTAACCAGAACAGGTCTGCTTTTCTTATTATTTAAGATCTTATATAAGACTTTTTTGATCAAAGGGTTATGTTGTTGTTGTTGTTGTTATGTGCCATCAAGTCAGCCCTGACTCATAGTGACCCCTCCTTGGGTTTCCAAGGCAGTATCACTACGGAAGTAGGATTGCTCAACCTTCCTTCCGAGGAGTGGCTGGTGGGTTTGAACCGCCAGCCTTCTGGTTAGAAGTCAAGTGCTTTAGCCACTATGCTACCAGAGCTCCTTATTA